AGGTTCTTCTTATTCTTGATAATTGTCCATGTCATATTAAAAATCAAAGTGAATTAAAAAATACTACTCTTTGTTTTCTTCCACCAAATACTACATCAAAAATTCAACCCTGTAATGCAGGTATTATTCGAAATTTAAAAGTTTATTATAGACAAAGAATGTATTATCAACTCCTTAAAGATATTGAAGCTAATATAGAGAACCTTGAAAAAATCAACATTCTTCAAGCAATTCGATATCTTATTTCGGCTTGGAAAATTGATGTTACAGAAAAAACCATTTATTATTGTTTTTTACATTGCAAAATTCATACCCCTATTAATAATGAATTACAAGATAATAATATAACCAATATTTCTGAAGTAATTAATAATCTTCAAGATTAAATTCAAAAGCTAACTTACCGCAATCCAATGGATGTACAACAATTAATTAATTATTCGGGAGAAGAAAAAATTACAGAAATTCCTACAGACGATTCAATTTTAGAATTGGCAAAAGAACAAATAAGAAAAGAAGATATTATAAAAAAAAATAATAATGAAGATGATTCATTCGAAAGACCAAAAATTTCAATAATGAAAGCTCAAGAAACATTGGAATTATTGGAACTTTTTTGGCTTCAGCAGGATGGCGATAATCATAAGGTTCTTAAGAGTATTGATTTTCAAAAAAAAGAATTACTTTTATTAAAACAAGCCGGTTTAATACAAAAATCACTTAGCGACTATTTTTAAAATAATACTAGTAATAACAAAAAATCAACAACTTATAGAATTTAATTTTGAGTTTAGATTTTTTAATTTCTCGAAGTTTGTTTTAACTTTTTTTATCTTGTATCACATTTATTAATAAAGTTTATTTGTTATACAGGTTGGAATATGCGATAAAAAAATATAATACTGACTGATTTTATAATTAATATAATGAAATTTCCTTTCGAAATAATTACATGGTAAAATATTTAATTTATTCTGACAAGTAATGAGTATATAAACATATGACTATGCTAATGCGCTAATTTTAATGCTAATTTCTATGAATCTCAACAATTATGATGGATCTATATAAAAATCAATGCGCATATTATAAATAACACCTAGGTTGGTCTGTGTGATGTTCTTATGTAATGCCTTGACCAATGCTTTTCCTGCCGATTCTCCTATTCCATTCTTTAACAAATGCTTTTCCTGTTGATTTAAATTGTTAGATTAATATTCATGCTAGTGTTTTCCTGCTGATTTACCTTTTTATTACGACCTATATTTAAATTCTATTAGGTAATATTCTTGTATAGTGCCTTAACCAGTGCTAACGTCTAGATTGGCTGCTCTTACGTAGTGCCTCAACCAGTGCTTTCCCTACCGATTCTTCAAATCTATTCCAACTTTATCAGGTGGTATTCTTGTATAGTTTAATTCACCTATATTATTACATAATACAAATTAGTTAGGGTGGTGTGCTTTTCCCGCCAATTCTACTCTATTACAACCTTCAGCCAATACTTTTCCTCGATTCTCTATCCCATATAATTAATGCCTAGATTGGTTGTTCTTACATAGTACCTCAATCAATGCTTTCCTTGCTGATTTTCCTATTCCATTCCGACTCTGTCTGGTGATATTCTTACATAGTGCCTCAGCTAGTGTTTTTCCTGTCAATTCTATATAACCAATGTCTAGATTGGTTGTTCTTACGTAGTGCCTCGATCAATACTTTCCCTGCCGATTTTCCTATTCGATCCAAACTCTGTCAGGTGGTAGTACGATTATTATTCATGCTTGTGTTTTCCCGCCAATTCTCCTATCTAACTACAACCTATATTTAATTCCGTAAGGGTGATATTGCATAGTGCTTCAACCTGACAATTCTATAACTAACGCTTAAATTGGTTCTTATGTAGTGCTTCGACCAGTGCTTTCCATTCCGATTCTCCTATTCCATTTCAACTCTGTCGGATAATAATACGATTATTTATTCATACTTGTGTTTTTCCCGCCAATTCTCCTATCTAACTACAACCTATATTTAATTTCGTAAGAGTGATATTGCATAGTGCCTCAACCTGACACTTCTATAACTAACGCTTAAATTGGTTCTTATGTAGTGCTTTGACCAGTGCTTTCCATTCCGATTCTCCTATTCCATTCCAACTCTGTTGGGTAGTATTCATTTGATTAGTTTGGTGGTATTCATACTCTTGCTTTTCGTCAATTCTCCTACCTATACAGCTTATATTTAATTCCGTCAGAGTATGCTTCGGCCATGCTTTTCCTGTTAATTCACCTATTCTATTCGAACCTATGTTTAATACCGTTAAGATGTTATTCTTTCATAGTGCCTTGATTAGTGCTTTTCTTGCCAAATATTCTATGGAATTCAAACCTATGTTTAATATTGTATTCACACATAGTCCCTCGTCAATACTCTTTCTTATATGTGAGACAAAGTTTTTTTACCGGTTCATGTTTGAACCAATAATATTGCATATATCACTATTAATAATAAAATCATATGATTTATGCTAGAAATGTATATAGTCATAACCTATATATAGGCATATGTTTTTATTGGCCCAATTATATGATTATATACAGGTTCTACTGTACTTATTTTTAATATACACTTTATATCTACTATACAATTTATACCTGATATACACTTTATACCTGATATACCTATTATACTTGATATACTTGATATACTTACTATACCTTTTTCCTTATTATTTTCTATTACATTTTTACATGCTAACAATATGATAAAAAAAAATTACATCAAACTTTTATCTTTCTTTATATCTGTATAAATATATGTATAATTATGGATCATTATATGCTTTTTGATGTTTTTCATTTGAACAAATGAATAGTTTGTTAAGTAGGTTTTTTTATAATTAATATTTGTAAAATAAATTTTTAATAAATTTAAAATTTAAAATCATTGCCTAATAGTTATCAAAATATTGAGCCTGAACTAATGCAAAGATTGATGAATAACTGTCAAATTATTAATTTAACCATATCCTATTATAATAATATAGAACTCGGAATCTTAAATAATTGATTAAATATTAAATTAATTTTAAAATTGAATCAATTTTCAGCAAATGAACTATGCCAATTCTTAAACAATACATATAATATTCAAGAGATAGATATCAATAAATCTGAACAATTTTCTGGCAAACTATTGCATCCTGAAAAATTAAATTTAAATCTTCTAAAATCTTGGATTTATTAGTTAAATATTATGAAGCTTCTTATGAAACCATAAACTTTTAAAGGCCATTTGTTAAATATATTAATAATAATTCAATAATTGTTTAAAATAGAGCTAATCAATATGGAAGATGTTGAATTGAAGTGAAATCTTTGATTTTGTTATGTCACTACAAAATATAAAAGGTTCATTTGTTTTAGCCTGGTTTGTGAATCATAATAGAAGTGTTGATTTATATTTGGGACTAAAAATGGGTCCCTAAATTAAAGGCAAGGATATAATTCAAATGTTTTTCACTATTAAAAAAGTTTTTTTTTTTTAATATAAGGTTAAAAAAAAACTACTTACAAAGATTTTTTGCAATTTAGGACACTTGATTCAAGTGTTTTTTTAATTATGTCTCTATTAAAGTAATAAATAAATAATTATGTTTCTTCAAAAGGGATATAATTAATCTGCAAATTTTTATATGCTAAATAGTTTAAGGACCCATCCTTACCTGAGACAGGTTCAATTTTTCTTTACTCATTCAGTTAACTTATCAAATAATGTGGCAAAACACAATTTGACTTTTATTTAATAGTTTAAACCTGTTAATTTGACAAATATCAGGTTCTATTTTGGATTTGAAAATAATGGGAATGTTGAATTATGGATTTGAAAATGATATGAATGTTAAATTATAGATCTGAAAATGATGCGAATATTAAATTATGGAATACCAAATTTTATTCATTTAGACACAAATGTATAATTTCTATTTACAATATTTTTAGCTAATTTATTTTATTTAAATATAAGATTTCAAATCGATAAGATTCTTATGAATATTTAGTTATTATTTCTTTAAATCACAAGTACAATATATAAAATTTCATTAAAACATATATGATTTAGCAATGTAATATAATTCGGCAAAATATATACAGTGGTATCCAAAATTTTTTGGAAAATTTTTTTAAAAAATTAAAAATTGCATTGTTATTTTATAAATATTAATTTAAAAAATATAAAAAAATTAAATATAAATCTTTTAGTATTAATAAATAATTTTAATT